CAATGGAAATATTATATGTTTGATGATATGGAAAAAAATCCTCATTTATTTTTGATATGAGTACTATGAATTGAGCTAGGTTGTAGAAAAGTATATTTCTAAGAATATTGCCTCTGTTTAAGGGCCACTAAATAGATTATATAAAAAGTATCCTGTTGTTTTGTTTTTTTTAATCCTTACCATGCTGATTACCTTGTCAATTTTTCTATGAGACCTGAATAAAAATCCATTATGATACTATTTTTAGGAGTAACTTTCAAAAAATGTACTGATCTTAAATCTAATAGATAAACAAGTGTCATGACTTTGAAGCACAGCAAAGATGTAGTGAGGCTTTGATCTTATATAATAGGTTAGTAATCCCGTAGATTCTAGTATACCAAATTACTAGCCATATAAAGGACAGGGAATAGTTGTGATATTTAAAGTTTATTTAGAGTATTTTCGTGTATTGCTTTACCAATTGATTAGTGTTGAATAAACGCTAAGAGCTGTCCTCATCATTTCTGCCTTGATTATATATTCTTATTTTTAACCCTTTTTGAATGGAGGTTAAGTGAGACATACACTAGACCCTTTGCCCTCGAAGATCCACTGTATTAGAAGTCATGCAACTTGTTGTAGAAAGGACAGAGCTCAACCTGTATAATTCCACGCCAACAGCCAGGCCAACTTGTATAAAGCCAGGCTAGCTGGTAAATAGCCAGGCCAACCTGTAAAGAGCAAGGCCAGCTTGTATAGAGCCAGGTCAACATGTAAAGAGTCAGGCCAACATTTATAATTCCACACCAACAGCAAGGCCAACTTGTGTAAAGCCAGGCCAGCTTGTAAAGAGCCAGGCCAACCTGTAAAGAGCAAGGCCAGCTTGTATAAAGCCAGGCCAACTTGTAAAGAGCCAGGCCAACCTGTATAATTCCACACCAACAGCAAGGCCAACTTGTATATAGCTAGGCCAGCATGTAAAGAGCCAGGCCAACCTGTAAAGAGCCAGGCCAACTTGTATAAAGTGAGCCTAACCTGTAAAGCCCCAGGCCAACCTGTATAAAGCCAGGCCTACTTGTATTAAGAGCCAGGTCATCCTGTATACAGCCAGACCAACCTGTATAGAGCCAGGTCAACTTGCATAGAGCCAGGCCAACCTGTATAAAGCCAGGTCAACATGTATAGAGCCAGGCCAACTTGTATAAAGTGAGGCCATCCTGTAAAGAACCAGGTCAACCTGTATAGAGCCATGCCAACCTGTATAGAGCCAGGCCATCCTGTATACAGGCAGACCAACCTGTATACAGGCAGACTTATTTATTTAGAGCCAGGCCAACCTGTATTCAGTCAGGATACTGTATTTAGCCAGGTCAACCTGTATAGATAATAGAGCCAGACCAACCTGTATAGAGCCAGGCCAACCTTTACACCTGTGTAGTCTAGACTTAATACTGCTGGCAGCCTAATTTTAGACTTTCTTAGACAATTTTAGACAATATTTATGACTTAATTTCAGACAGTGTTTAAATGTTTTCAAACTGAAATATCTTAAATTCCCCATTCACAGTTTCTACTGCAGTGCAGGAAGAAGTGTATTACATAAATTTTGCATAAAAAGTGTTAATTGATATTGATTCCCATGTTCAAGTTCAAGTTCTACAAAATCATTTGAAACAATTATGATAAAGATCGTATATGTGAGAAATTATGTAAGGTTTCAGCTGACGTATATTAACAACTTTCCTTACAGTGTTTTGTTATGTCTGTCGATGACCATCATGTATAAATTTTATTATCTGAAAGTATGAAAAAAAAAGTTTTGTTGAGCATAATGAGTTAATGTAAATTTTGTAAAAAATTACTTGATATTTGTGTTTGTTCTGCAAAGTATAGTAAATGACTATAATTTTTTGAAAGGGATACTCAGGCAAATTAATATTAATCTTATGTACTCAAATCAAGCTAAAATGACAAAAATCCCAGCATGAATTTTTGTATAAATTCTATATATTTTGGGTTTTAAAGTGTAAATATATCTATATATATTGCACAAAATTTAGATGCCGACTGAATCACAGAGTAGTATAAAACAAGTCATGTGACTTGAATAAAACCTGGAAGTTACAGTAACAGATGTTTTGGATATTGTATCTAAGTCATTCATTTGACATGTTCTTTAACGTTTTCAGAGTTCACTTTGACAACTATTATGAAATCTGAACCCTCTAACCTCACAGACCCGTGTGGGTGAAGTTAGGAAACCAACATTTTATTCATTATAAAGAGAAAAGTTTTATTCCTGTGACTGCCTCAGTATCAGTGTATTTGTTTTGAGGACATTTACACTATAATGAATGAAATAATCAAAACCAAGATTGAAAATTTTTCCTGTGTCTCCCTTTAAAATATTAAAAAAATGTTTTTTTGGTATATAATTTATTCTTTTCTCTGTGATCATACAATAATAAAATGATCATAACAGTGCAAGTCATACTAAAACATAGTCAGAAAAAGTTACATTTTCTACACAAAATATATGTTATTATTGAGTAAGCTCACAGTATGGATTGCTTAAAGCATAGCATTAGAAACAAAATTATGGGATATGCGAATGATAACTATGAAAATATTTATACTTTCACAGTTTGGCAATATTTGTAATAAAATTTGATAAGGTTTTCCGTCTGAAAGTGTACATTATAATTAGCAACTGTTTCTCATATACTTTTGAGCTCTTGTTAGTCCCCTACCGGTTTACCGGAGGGGACTTTAGGTTTACCCTCCGTCCGTCTGTCCGTCTGTCTGTCAGTCCGTCCGTCCGTCTATCCACAAAACTGGATCCCGCGATAACTTGAAAAGTACTGATAATATTTTTATGAAACTTGATATATGGATAGATGGCAGTATGGAGATTATGCACGTCTTTTTCTTTTCTTCCTATGTTGAAAATTCTGGTTGCTATGGCAACAAATAGGCTGAAAATATGGCAAATTTTACACATAAACTGGATCCAGTGATAACGCAAAAAGTACTGGAAATATTATTATGAAACTTAAAATATGGGTAGATGGTAGTCTGGAGATTATGCACGTCTTTTTCTTTTCTTCCTATATTGAAAATTCTGGTTGCTATGGCAACAAATAGACTGAAAATATGGCAATTTTTACACATAAACTGGATCCAGTGTTAATGCAAAAAGTAATAGAAGTATTTTTATGAAACTTGTAATATGTGTAGATGGCAGTCTGGAGATTATGCACATCTTTTTCTTTGTAAATTCTGGTTGCTATGGCAACACATAGACTGAAAATATGGCAAATTTTACACATAAACTGAATCCAGTGATAACTTAAAAAGTACTGGAAATATTTTTATGAAACTTGACATATGGGTAGATGGAAGTCTTGTGATTATGCATGTCTTATTTGTTCTTCTTATTTTGAAAAAATATTGGTTGCCTTGGCAACAAATAGGCTTAAAACATGGCAAATATAACAATATTTGTGATGAGTCAAAAAGAGCTGAAAATTTTTATGAAATTGCATCTTTAATTCCAGAGTTATCTCCTCTTTAAGAATTTTGCTTTTTAAATTGTTATATTTTGGTAACGGATGTTTTAAATATTAAATTTAGAGTGTCCTTCAGTCCGTCTGTCTTTTTAACAAAACTGTTTCCTGTGATCACTTTTAAAGAAATTTTCCAACAAATTTACTATAAAAACATTAGTGAATGGCCAATGGCCCTTCAGAATGTTGATGGGGTTCCATCCGGTAGGGGACTTATGGATTGCTTGCAATACTATGATAATTGCTTGTTTTTCTTTAAAATTCCCATAACAAACCAAAGAAGCAACTAAAAGAAAACTAGAAAAAAAACACATAAAACATAAATCAAATTTAGTGAATTGTCTCCCTACACCCCCCCCCCTTCTTTTCCCACTATCTTCTTGTGAAACAACGTGCATTAATCATAGGAGCTAGACATTCTATTTATTGTAAAGAGGGGTATATTTGGCGTTATTTCTTAATTATTTGCTTATGTTCATCAAATATTGATAGAATGTATATATACATTAATTTCCCTATTTAACAATTACTTGTGGGAACATCATTTTTTTGGGGTTACTTTGATTGCTAATGTATTGTTACATGGGAAAGCACCCTATCAATTATACTATCTTAATGATCCCCCTCTAAGATTTAGAAAGTTTGAATTTTATTATCTGGCTCTGATATGACAAAAAATGATTATGATGCTTTATAGAATTAACTCTTGCCCAGCTGAATTTCTCAAAAATGACTTGTCATGCTTCATTTTTTGGAGCTGGCCTTTATCACTTTTGGGTATATCAAGATAAAAATTTTAAGTTGATCAGACAACAGTAACATCGTAGTCAGACTGCACAGCCTTTATAACTGGTGGGAGAGGTTTATTACTTTGGGCATTAGTTTAGAAAATGGTTTAATGTTTACATTGTCTAGCTTATCCATGTGGCAAATTTTTGGTTTGCTTGCACTGGAAAACTAAAGGTGACCATTATCGGCTTTTGGTCAGTCCCAATTTGAGGTTCCTAGATAAAACCAAGAATATATTTTTTTTCTGGATAGCTTGAAAGTTAAGCATCTCTAATAAGATTTGAGCAAATGGCCTCAGGTCGATCTTAGGGTAACTAGTAACCAACGCTGAAAAGCCTTTGACTCTATCTCAATCCATTGAGAAGTTGCAGCACTTTGAAATCAGTTTTGATGGAAAAAAACAATGCAAAATTGTGATTTTTGGCAATTTTGAGATGTCTCCCCATTGCCATGGTAACTGGAAATTTAAGATTGAGCATGCTGTTACAGAGGCTCTGGTCCAGTCAACATTTGTGCCAAGTTCCATCAGTATTGAAGCATTTTTGATGGTTTAAAATAGCAGTTTGAACTTGTAACAGGAGGCTTTTCAATGAAAACAGCCATTTTTCACAATATGCTCATGAAGTAAACGGTTAATTAATGTTTGTATTTTCTGTTTAACAGTCAGACATGGTGAATAAATCGATTTTTGACTTTGTTGGGAAACACGAATCAGCCAACCTGCACAATATACTCTACAACTACAGGGTAGCTTCAGGGAATGGAATACCAGACTATGAAAAAGGTAAAGAAATGTGCTTCCATATGATTCAATTAGCAAACCTCAATTCAGATGTTTCTCTTATCATACAAACGTATTTGAAAACCTGTTAATAAATCTTACTAACAGTTACCATTCTGTTGACAAGGTATAATTATATAGACAACATGTAGCAAACTTTCTTATGCACATATTCTGAAAACAGATGCAGAAAATTCAGAGACCCTTAGTGATTAATATGGAAATTTTGTGATGAAGGTATTTTATAGATTTCTTATTAATTGCAGAAGAGAATCAGTTGTGTTTTGAGTGTAATTTCCTGCGGGGCTCGATAGATCCTCGGGACCCACCTAGGTATGAACCGGTGATTGTTCGGGGAAGTTCACGGTACACCAACTCTTTGGGTAAGTTTTGGACCAAATAAGTTTTGTAATGTTTTGATATAAAATTCTTGTAATAAATTTAGAATATATCAGCTTAATTTTTACATGCTCAGATAGTGTCTCTTTGGCTTAATTTGGCATACCTGCCTTGTATTATAAATATCATTAAATAATAATTTGGTTACGGGTCATTAAGTTAAGTGGTGGTATTGGTTCATCTTGAAAATTAGTGCATACAAGTTACTTTGATTATAAAAATCATGAAAACAGTAATAATTTTTGCTTAAAAATCATGAAAGAGCACACCAGCTTTGGTTAACGAAGATAATAATATGTGAAAATTTGGGACAAAATAAGCTGGCAATCTGGTAGTACAAATGTATGTAACTTGAGTTTATAGAAAAACCATGAAAACATGATAACTTAAGTCAAATTATAGTGAGTAACTTGAGTGTATAGAAAAGTCATGGGGAAAAAAAAGCTAACTTGAGTGTAATTATAGTATTTAACTTGAGTTTATAGAAAAATCTTGAGAAAAAAATGATATTGGAGTTAGATGTAATACATGCAAAATCAGACATTTTGTAAATGTTTATATCATTTATATTTCACAGTAGGAGATGAGGATATGTTACAACTACCGAGCCCGAACAAGGAACAGGTGTATTTCCTGTGTACAGTACGACTAAAAACATCGCAGCTTGTGCGGGAAATGTCCATAGTTGATGACAATAAAGAATTTACATCAAGACACAGCCTTGAGTGGAAATTTTTATTTCTTGACCACAGGTTGGTATCTAAATTATCTCTAGACGTTTGGTAAACTGTGTATGGACTTTTTCCCATCAGTTTTCATCCAGAAACTTTGAATACCTAAATGGTAAATTTCCTGTTGGGGTCCCAATTTTCTATTTTATGAATTTATTTTAGGTCTGTTGAGATCTATGTATGATTTTGCCAGGTAAAGAGTAAGACCTTCATTTAGTTTGATTTAAGTTTGAATTCTTGTTCATGTATGTGGTGAGTGAAAAGAAAGAAAAAAAGTGTGTCGAAAGTTGTATATTACTAAATGATCATCAAAGTGGTTTAGGTTGAAAGTAGACTGTAAGAAGTGTGAACATTGTGGCTTGTGCTGGAAATCTGGATGACTCGCCCAGTGTACTATGAGATGTATACGCTATCTGTCCAGATTACAGAAGGAAGGTGGTTTTACTGGAGTCCATAGTCGTGACTGAAGGTCTTAATGAAGTTAGTGATCCCTAAGGTCTCCCTGAGCAAAACAGAAGGAAGGAAGGTGGTTTAACTGGGTTCCCTAGTTGTGACTAAAGGTCTTAATGAACTGAGTGACCACTGAGGTCTCCCTGCACAAATTAGAGAGTCAGTACATCAGGTTTATATCAATAATAGTGTCAGTGTAACTTAAGCTAACTTCACAATATCTGAAACCTCCACTACAAAAAAAAAAAAAAAAAAAAAAAAAAGATGAGCAATGAGCAAAGAAAGAAAGAAAAAAGAAAACAAAGGAAAAGGGGAAATTTTCCAAGAAAAGAAAATCCTGAAGGCATGAAGACTAGATATTGATTATTACAGTTTGTTTTATTTATGCTAAGAGAATTCTGTCACATTGTGACAATACCTCTTAGAACAGAACATAACAATTATTATTAAATACCGGTATTTAAAATGACGTTAAAACTTTTTCCTTTACTGAATATTCTTAATGCATCAACTCTTACCGTTTCATTGAAAAAAAAAAATGTTTTCACGATTCTTTCATACCAACTTAAAATTGATCTGTGCATTTACAGAGCGCCCCCTATAATTGGCTACCTGCCGTTTGAAGTTCTCGGAACATCAGGTTACGATTATTACCATCCCGATGATCTGGATGGAGTGACGGTGTCACATGAGCAGTGTAAGTAATTGAAAATTGCTGATGAAATAGGAGAGTATTGTGCTGTGGGTTTTTAACCTATATATTCTTGCAGATTTGTGTTTATTTGATTGTTAGTATGGGTTTTGTAGGTCTCTTGTGAACTTAAGTAGTTTGTTTATGAGTTTTTATTTTTCACTTTTAAAAATTTAAAATTAAGACAAAATTAGGACAAAATTAGGATTCATATCTGTCAAAGATCTCAAATGTTGTTATAGTTTTAACCTTTATCCTGCTTAATTTATGTTATTAATTTGCCCTGTCTATTTAAAGTATAAGGGATTTTCATTATAAAATGTACAAAAATTGAGCTACCAATAATGTGGACATCAATGTAGTGGCAAAGTCTAATCACATCCAAAGTCCGTCCCGATCACAGGACAGTAATTATGTGTCTAGAGGGACAATAGGTAACTGTTCTTTCTCTTTGATGTCCTTAATGCTTTAATGTGGCTATTTTTTTTTGTGTGGCTAAAAAGAACAATAGAGAGAACAATAGACTAGTCACATAATTACTGTCCTGTGAGAACGTCCGTCCGTCAGCTTTACTTGTCTGGGACATAACTTTGAAATAACAAGAGATATCAACATGAAACTTTGTAGGTAGATAGATCTAATTGAGTAGGTGTGCAGTGCACAAGAACCGTAACTCTGCCTTGCCTAATTTTTGATATATTCCCCTTTGTTTATTTTTACACTTTGAACTTTGTCCGGGACATAACTCTAAAACTATAAGAGGTATCAACATGAAACTTTGTAGATAGATAGATCTCATTGAGTAGGTGTGCAGTGCACAAGAACTGTAACTCTGCCTTTCCTAATTTTTGAATTATTGCCCTTTGTTCATTTTTACGCTTTGTTTACCCGGGACATAACTCTGAAGCTATAAGAGATATCATCAGGAAACTTTATAGATCTTATTGAATATAAGTGCAGTGCAAAAAACATAACTCTGCCTTGCCTTATTTTGGAGTTTTTGCCCTTTGTTCATTTCTTTAAACTTTCCTGTGTCTAAATCCTTCTCGGGGAGCATCACCCGGTTCAACCGGTTCTTTTTTAAAAAAATAAAGAAATAATGGTTAGCTGATAATTATATTCTTGGCAAGGCAATTAATTGTAATTATTATTTGTACACAGATGAAACATCATGCAATACAGGTGGAGTTTTAATTTGGCTTTAGACAACTTGTCTTTCATATACAGCGGCAGTTTGGGGTATGAATCACCTTAAGTGATAGTTCTAGTTTTTGATAACCTCATATTTTTATTTTCATTTTACAGTGATGAAGACAGGGGAGGGAACTTCATGTTACTACAGATTCTTGACCAAAGGCCAGCAGTGGATCTGGTTAAAGACTCGATTTTATATTACATATCATCAATGGAATTCGAAACCAGAGTTCATTAACTGCACCAATACAGTTGTTAGGTAGATTATTTGTTATTGTAAATGTTAGACCTGTTAAATTTCTTAAATGGCATTGTCTGGCTAACATGGTCACATTTTGGGAGCTTCCATTTTCAAGTTAAGGGATATCAAGATGAAAAATATTCCCATATCTAGATAAGAATTTTGACAGAAATCTGAATGATAGCTTTTAGTGTACTTGAAAAATTTACTGGTTCTAGATGTGTAGCAAGTTCAGTTTCTTCCATTAATTAAGGTATTCACTTTAAACTTTACACATTACGTAAGGGATCATTCACTTTATACAGAATATATTACAGTTCGATTGTGTAGGAAACTATTAGCATATAGACACATATGAAACTATTCCTGGAACCAACCAGTACAATGTACTAAGGAATGTGTTTGAAGTTTAAGTTTCATGTTTAATGAAACAATTGCTTTGTTCTGAAAGGGCTGGAACCCATGTGGCCAGATTCCTATTCAAACGAGTTCAATTCTTAGCCATGCCAGAACACATTTTAACCATGGTTTTAACTGTGACTGAACCACATTAAGCTCATAAACAAATTTTCTTGTTTTCCCCATTGTTTTTCTATTCAGATATGAACACTTATTTTGTATAACCAAATTTGAAACATTACGTTTAATATATTTTTTTTCATTTTTGCATAAATAAAACTATGGAATGGTACAACTGTCATAAATGTATTTATTCTTTTTGTAGTTATTCAGACGTAAGAGGACAAAAGAGAAAAGATCTAGGCATTGCTGAGGAAGAAATATCTAACGTTGAAATTGAGCCGATGCAATCTATATTTAGCATGTCTCGAAGTCCATCTGTTGGTTCTGTTACATCTGCTAGTCGGTCCGACTCAAATAGTAAGTCTGTCTTTGAAGTGATTACTACATTGTAAGATGAATATTTTTACTGAACACTTAAACCTATGGTTTATGTTCAAGGTTTGATTTTCAGATTTATATAAAGCTTGGTGCATAGATCGTCAGATGTTAAGTTCATATTTATGGTGGGTGACTTCAAAATGGTGCATTTAAAATAAAATGGTCTGGAATTTCACGAAATATGCTGTGTCTTTTTCATTCCCAATGTCTAGGTATAAATCATCTGCATGTCGAGTTTCATAAGCTTTGATGTATAATTGTAAATGTGTATTAACCCTGAGCTTACTGAATTTGTGTAATGAATTTGCCCTACTATGAATTCAGTATAGTCCAGTTAATGTGCTAGGTATTTTAATATCATAATACATACCCCTTGTGGCTGAGGGGTTGCCTTTACAGGTTGACACGTCAGAATTGTAGCCACAAGATCGTAAGAGTTGCCTAAATGGGTTTGAATTCCTGGTGTTTATGCATCTCTAAGCTAGTGTTGTATTGATTTTTGTAACACCCAATGTTAGCCTGTTAGCCAAAGTCATCTTTCCTGTTCTGGTGTCATATGAAGTAAAATATGTTTGTGTGCCATATAACAAAACAAAAATATTACATAAGCTACCAACAGTGTGGAACCTGGTCAAACTGTATGAATATGCAGACTGAGTAGCTCTATAGCTATGGCAAAGGCTAATTGTTAGGTTCCTGCAGGTTAAAGTATTGTGTATTTTTTTTTGCAGTATGTCCTGTGACAGAAAAAGAAGGCAGCGAAAACTTCCAGCCAACATCCACATCGCAAGTTCGATCTCGAACTGTATCACAACAGTTACAACAATTCTTACACCGTCACCTACAACAGCAGCAGCAACAGCAGCAACAACAACAACAACAGTCCCAGACAAGTCCCGGTCCCCGAACTATACAGTCGACAGCCACACACTCAACATCATCCACCACATCTTTTTCAACCCTTCCTTTACAGCATCTCCTATACGGTCGGTCCCAGCTAACTCCGAAGTCAGACTCCCAGCACATGAGAATTTTACCACGTCCGTCAACCTCCAGTGTATCTGCCCAACAAACTAGAATACAGGTAAGATGTTCATTATTTCTTATTTCGGGCGTTTGATGACTAAAACTAAAAACATAGCCATCTCAGTGTCTTTAGCCAATAATAGGGAGATCTATTGTACACACCCAGGCAGCGGTGTCAGTGTTGGTGTTTTGTGTGCAAGTTTGTTTCTTCAAAACTAATGAAGAGAATGGGTTGAAACTTCACACATATGTGGGTAACTTAATACCGATAGACATTTTTTCATTATTGAAACAGGGAATTATAAGGAAATTTTTTTCTTGCATTGGATTTTATATTGATAACTTTTATTTCTTGGAGAGCATAATAGGAGGTAACTGTCCAAGGCCCATAACTGTTGAATGAATAATGGCCCTTCTTGAACTAAGAAAGTTCTACATTATCCAGGTTATTGTTTTTCTTATCAAACACTGAGAAAAATCTAGCATGCTATCCCACCGACAGCTCCTGTTGTAGTTAATTTGCCCTCATGTAAATGTTGTAAATACTTTTAGACAACTTATGATCCTTATTTTGACATTATCCCTTTACCAGCTGGAACTTACAGTGATTGGCCTTTGTCACCAGTATGAAGCCAGGCCAGCTTGCACAGCCATGTAGTCTGACCTGGAAATATACTGCTGGTAGCTCAGTTTTTGCGTTCTGAAATTGAAATCCTTTAAAAAAATGAATTGACTGTTCCAATGTCAAGGCAGGGTAAATCTATGGCACAAATTTAGATGCTTAAGAGTTAAATTATGATATAAAAGTAATATTAATTACTATCGATAGAAATTTTTTCATTATTGAAACAGGGAATTATAAGGAAATTTTTCTCTTGCATTGGATTTTATATTGATAACTTTTATTTCTTAATATCATTTTTACAGACACCTTCTATCATGGCGCCTGATTCTCATTCCATAACAACAATGGTATCAAGCCCATCTATACTCAACATATCTCCGATAAACATGGTAAGTACATTTAATTTATAGAATGGGATTTACATAAGTATTTTGCTTGTTTTCCAAACCATATGTTCATTATTATGACAAAAATTAATACTTGATAATAAAATGTAACTTACGATTGATAACATCTTGCGATAATTTTGTACAGAACCTAATATCTTTGTCAAGGGAAAATATATATGGCCGTTACAGGGCTATGCATAGTTTTTGGTAAGTAATTCCCCATGAGTCAGATATTCCTGTCTGTAATGACAGCCAGTGTCGAAATTCTTGTCTTGTATAATATTATACAAATATGGACTTATTAGCTGTTGAATATGATGTGATATGTACTGAAAAAATTAATATTGACAGAGGCGATAGCCGAGGTCAATATTAATTTTTCATTAAATATCATATCATATTCAACAGCTAAAAAGTACATATGTTTTATTTTATGATTTATAAAAAGCTTTTATACAGCTTATCAAATCTGCAATTGCATACGACGGAAATTGTTATTTTTCAGCTTGTCTACTTTTTCCATAATTTGGCCCTTTCTTTTAAATGAGCTCATTGGCACGCTAATTTGTATTGTTCTTTAAAATGTAAAGACGGTAACTAAAATAGACGAATTTGACTCTTATTTAGGTGTCACTCAACGTTTTTTTTTCTATATGATAACAACAAACTTGGTTTGACGTCACGTCATAGCATGTGTCTTTCGGGGGATTTCCAGAAAATCTATTTTTAGGAGAAAAAATAGTGAATATACTCTGATATTGACCTGTTATTTTTTACAAAAAATTGCTTGTTAGCCAATCAGGGAAAGGGATTTCAAAGCTTTTTATAGATTATATAATAATTATATATATATCATGATATTTGTTTTAAAGAAATTATGGAAAAATAACATTTTGTTTAGCACTTATTTTTCAGAAAGAAGATATGAATTTACCATATCGAATTAATGGTGGCCAAATGATGTCATCCTGAGCACGGAATTTATTCGTAAAATGTGCAGGAATGATGTCATTTTAAAGCTAGCAATTTTTCGTGGGGAGTGTGTTATGAGATTTTCTAGCGCTGGTGAAATTACACTAGAAAATCCTGTCTGATAAGAAAGAATGAATTAATCCTTTGTTTTCAGGGTGAGGTATTGTGGTCAGCCTTTGTCAATCCTCTGTCGGTACCACGCTAAATATCTTAAATGGACTTGTCCATCATTCATTTGGACAAGACTATTCATCATTTTTAGGGAAAATTTTGAAATACTTTCTTATTGAATAGCAAATAGTGCAGACCATGATCAGATGGCATGGATGTGCCAGCTGACCTTCGTCTGCACTGGCTGCATGGGCTATATTAGTAATAGCAGGCTTAAGGTTAAAGTCATTTGCCTCAGATAGAATATAATAAAATTATTTCAAATGCATGTCAATGGTAAATACTGGTCCACTTAGGGTTAATATGTGAATACTACTTACTTCTTAATTTAAGGAAGAAAGTTGTCAAAATCATTAATAAAACGTGTTTTCATTTTGCATATTCTGCTGTGTAACTTGACACAGGGCTTGGTACATCTAGGATTGTAACAGTGAGTTTGTCTCTGAGACAGAATTGAAAATGATCAATTTTAACTCTTAGGTAATGCTTCGTAGTTCGTACTAATCATACAATACTGACTGTAAGACTTTTTAGTCATATTTGAAATGGGACAATGAGTAACTGGTGTATATTGTATATGCTAGAATACTTCCGATTGGTTTATTGTTGGGCTCAGTTTTGAAACTGACCAATGAAATACTATTTAACATTATGTGTATGATATTTCCTAGGCTATGCCAGCGCCAACAAATATCTACATGACACCTGTGCAAAGACAATTACACGAGCAGTTACAGAGAAAGGCTGGTCAGGTGCAGGATGCTATACTTAGGCAACAAGAAGAGCTGCGGAAAATTCATCAACAACTTCTTTTTGCTCAAGGGAATATCCCAGTGCTCAATTCTAATACAGGTAAGGTGTATGAACATGTTTGATTGCCTTACTTTTTCATTTAAAAACATAGTTAATAGGTAGAACTACAAAATTTTACAAAGGAAAAGAAAGAAAAATTCAAGTAGTGCAGTGAAATTTCTTTAGTTTTTCATGGAAGAAAAGAATGATAATTGAAACACATAATGTAAAGGGGTTTTCTCGAATTTTCACCATCCTACTTTTTGAGTTATATGCCCCTGTAAAGTTAGATTTTTGCTCTTTTAGGTCTTTGTCAGGAGCAGATAAATTAAAATAAAGCATACTAATACTGTATTTTATTTTAAATTATTTGTTATTTCATTCTCAGTCATTATGCAGAAGTTCAAAACAATTCTTTCTAAATGATATTCTGCATTAATTCATTAATACATATACTTTCCTTCGAAAAATGGGGGCATTACTCTAAAATTTAATTTTTGAATAATTTCGCATAAGCATTGATATGGAACAAAAAGCAACTGTTGCATATAATGTCTGCAAATTTTGCGTCATAATGGGGAATTAGATAACAAACACAAATTTGAAATCAAATGAGGTGTTGCATATCACAGTTTTTGAGTTGTTTGCTCTCGAAAATAACAAAACAGTAAAAGCCCTCTCTTTCAGCAAAACCATACATATTTTTCTACATTTAATGCATGCAACACATACACAAATACCTCCGGACACAAAAATTTCTTTATCTCTTGAGACCGTGAACTGAAATAACATTGCTCCAAGATAACAATGTACATGTATCTTATTTTTTATGTTCATTTTTCAAAACTGTTCCTTTTAAAATTGTAAATTCCCATATTTCTGTTTTTGTACAATATTGATTTTTGTGTTTATTTTTGCAGACAACATGGTAGGAATAATGGGTGGGGAACACTCAAGAGTGATTCAGGCGACATCTTCCTTACCTGCAGCGCAGCATCAACATCAACAACAACAATCATTAGTCCAGCCCCCTCAGCAGGTGGAGCAACATTCTCAAGGTGTGCCCATGGTGGGGATGCATAGTGTTATGGTGAATCAAACACCCGTTTTACCATTTCCAATGCTTCCACAAGATGCGGAAATTTATCTTT